CCCCAAAACCCCAAAACCCCAAAACCCCAAAACCCCAAAACCCCAAATATCATTGCTCAAGTTGAGAGCTAGCTTATGTCTTTTAATGGAATTTCATTTGGCAGTCATGGATCAGGGCTCTCATTGAAGAAAGGATGCTCAAGACATTCCTCTAAAGTGATCCTCTTGTTTGGATCAAGGATTAATCAATGTTCTAAAAGGTCAAGAAGGCTTTCATCAAGGCCTGGGAAAAGAACTTTGAATGATTGAGGTTCAGTCTTCTGGAATTCGACATAATTTGGAAGCTCAGTCACACCTTCCCATGTCTCTTCTGATGGTGTCCCAACTACACTAAATATCCGGCTGAGCTGGTCTATATCATCTTGCCCTCAAAAGAGAACATTTTTGAGGATAAGTCCTCCAAGAATACATCCTGCTGCCCATATGTCAACCTGAGGACCATAATAGTTAGCTCCAAAGAGAATCTCTGGAGCTCTGTAGTGCAAGGTTACCACATTTTGAGTCATTGGCTTATCATTAGCTGCAAAGAACCTTGAGAGACCAAAATCTGAATACTTGAGTACCCCATCTTCAGAAATTAGTAAATTCTGAGGAGTGAGATCTCTATGAATTATCCAATGCTTGTGGAGAACTTTTAGGCCATTAAAGATCTGCAACATAATGCATTTAATATGATCAATCCTGAGTTTAACCTCAGGTACAATCATTAGGTTCCATAGATCGGTCTTCATAAGTTCCATTGCCATAAAAGTTGTGCTTTTAATGTAGAAAACATCTGTGAGAGCAATAATATTTTCATGTTTGATCTCCTGGAGGATCTTAATCTCTCGTAACGTAGTAAAGTCAATACCTTGGTTCATCAACTGCTTAGGAGAGAGTCTCATTTTCTTAATAGCAAGATATCTATAATAGTGAGCTTTATTCCGTACTTTCTGGCTGAAGCTAAGCTGGGGTCGGCGTATACCTCTGCTGCTTTATTTATCCTCAACTTTGTACACAGAACCGTAAGACCCTCTTCCTATTTTCTGGACCATTTCATATCTGTTATTAAGGAGGGGTTTTGGAGGAGATTTCGATTCTTCTACTCTGAGCTTTTCCATTTTTAATAAATCTTTCAAATCCGCTAATTTTTAAGGGGTTTTGGGGTTTTGGGGTTTTGGGGTTTTGGGG